ATGAATTAGTTTAATCTACTACTTTTCTTCTATCACTTAGCTGAGGAAATTGACTTTGGGAAATACAAACACCCAAGCTGAGGGAGGTGTACTGAAAGGGTGGAAGACAGGTGCCAAGTTATTTCGGAATTTTTTCAAGAAAGACCTTTCACCCAAAGAAAAGAGGAAAAAGATATTTTCCTTTATCGTTCGATTCTTACTCTTCCAAGTAGCAAACAAAAAAGATGAACTGGGAGAAGGGGTTCATGAGGGATTCTTGTAGTGATGGAATTTTTCTGTGTCTTGATGGTGGTGGTGGCTCCCTGAATATGTCCATGTGATAAAAAGCATAAAACTTAAATCACACATGTGAATGTATGTAAAACTGATGAAATCTGAAAAAGGATTTGTGGATTATTTCTTTAATTTTTTATTGATATGTAATAGTTGTACATATTTAGGAAGTACATGTGATATTTTGATACCTGTAATACAATGTGTACCGATCAAATCAGAGTAACTGGGATATCCATCACCTCAAACAATTTTTTCTTTGTGTTGGGAACTTTACAATTCTTCTCTTTTAGCTATATTGAAATATACAATGAATTATTATCAACTAAAATTTCCCTAATGTACTATCAAAACCTAGAACTGATTTGGTTAGCATACGGTACTTGTAAGGCCAGTGGATTTTATCAATGTCAATACCCTGGTTGTGATATTGTACTATAATTACGCAAGAAGTCATCATTGGGAAAAACCGGATGAAGGATATATGGGATCTTTCTGTATTATTTCCTACAACTACATGTAACTCTACAATTATCTTTCAAATTTTTTTAAATAAATGAACCAAGACAATGTTTTACTATAAGGGCTAGCTGGGCAAAGGAGTAGGGGAGACAGTTCCATCTAATTTGGAAAAGTTAGGTCTGAAGTGGTAGTTGTCATAGTGGTCTAAATTAAGTTTTGATTGTAGAAGTAGGACCATAATGGCCATAGTTGACAGAACTTTTTCTGTTTTAATGTAATCTAAAATAAAGGGCATATAAGAGAGGAATTGCAGTGAGGTAAGAAAGAGTAAAATAGAGGAAGGCAGGAAGGAGATAAATACCACGACAGTCAACAGTCGTCTCTCTGTACAAGTGGCGGATTTGTTCCAGAACCACCCACGGATTATCCGCAGGTACTCAAGTCCCACAAGCAATTGGCCCTGCAGAACCGGTTTATATTAATACAAAAATTCAGCTCTCCCTATACACAGGTTTCCAGCCCTGCAAATACTGTATTTTCAATCTACCTGTAAGCGGATCTGCACAGTTAAAACCTGTGTTGTTCAAAGGCCAACTGTAGTTCATTTTCTTCTGTTTAAGGTACCCTCAACTAGAAGTCTAAAGCATGGAAAGGAAAGAAAACAATTAAGTGCTCGATACTGTTAGATCTAATAATATCTTCCTATGTGTCTTCTTAAAGTTGCCAAAGCTCAGGCCCAAAATTTATTCCTATAAATTTTTAATTCTTAATCTTCTGAGAAGACCAAGCATATTTTGCTACTTCCTTTCGGAGAAATAGATGGATAGTCTATTAATATTTTTGACAGTTGACAATCTTTGACTTAAATCCAATGTTCCCCTAAGGAATTGCTGATTTTACAGCAAACAATTCTTTAAAAACTTTGTAGTGTATCTCCAGCATTATTTTTAGTACACTCTTATTTTTTATGCTAAATATTCTCCTAGTTTTGTTTTTGAGTGACCAATAGCAATTATTTCCTTTTAGGAACTTGGGTTTTATTTGAAAATGTTTTTTGAAATTATTGGAGCAATTGAATCAAGTGGTCATGTAGCGCTCAATATTTATTAGGCCTATGACCTGACTTTTCCAACTTCAGTAACCGTATTGTTATGTACAGTTTGGTGTCCGCTGAAATTTACATAGTAGCATACTAAATCAATGTTTTCCCCTGACTTTGGACAAAGATTGATTAAGTTAATTGCCCATAAACTTTAAAGATACATGTTTTCAATTCATAAAAATATTTTGCACCTGGGATTTCTTTAGTCTTGCCTGTCTTTGATTTGCAGTGATAGATTTTAACCATCCAGACCTTGGATTTGTTTCTAACATATTGCACACCACAGGGATAGTCAATAAAGTTCAGTGGATGCCTCAGGTAGCCACACTGTATTTTCTTATTTGAAGTATTCTTTGTAAAAAAAAAAAAAAATTCACTATTTGTCTAATGATTCAAGTTGATCAATATTTATTATTAATAATTTGTAGATTGTACTTTACCTACTTAAAAAGCAGGTTAGGTAGCTTATCATAAATTAGTATGAAACATCTTTGTCATTTACAGAATTCACAATCTTATGCTATTTTTCCACTCATTTTGTTTTTTAATTTTAATGAAGACCTTCCTGCTTCCTCCGGTTTGAACTGCACAATTCACCATCTGCTAGGTTTTGCATTGTTGTCAGTCTCCTTACGATTTCACCTTATGTACCCTTCTCTCCCGCTACAGCTTACGTTCCTGGGAGCAGAGCCTCTGTCTTTGACTTAGAGCAGCTCCTCTGTAAGGTCCTCAATATGGATTTTGTGGGATTAACTGTTTCCCTGTTTGGCAATAATGACCTATTGCCTTTATATATCCTGTTTTTATGTAAATTGTTTAAGGAAATACCCAAACTCTCTCAAGCCACAAATAAGATGAGTTGTCTTTCTTTGAGGGGTAAACTCCCCACCAAGAGCTGTTCGCTGGTAGCTGGTTAACAGATTCCCAAAGAATTCTTGTCCTAAGGTTTACATAGCACTTTATACTATCTCAGAATAACTTCACAACAACTCTCAGAAGTAGGTTTTCTTTTTAACTTCTGAGGAAATTAAACTCAAGGAGCTTTCCTGGCTCAAATATGTTGGTGGAAGAGCTAGGACATGAATCCAAGTGTTCTTTTTCTAAGGTTAGTGTTCCTTTCAGTAGACTGCATCTGTCTCCATGAGGCAACCTACTATGGGATCAAGTCTAGGGCCAAATCTGAGAGCCCAGACTGAGCTGATTTTTGTCTATACTGCTCCCTAGAAGCACGGCACACTGATGTGGGATAGGAGCCATCAACACTGAAGGATCTACCTGTAATTTCTTAGGCACCCACCCTGCTATCCATGGGCTAAAGAGTCACTCCTCTCAGATAAAATTGGGCATCTCTGGATGTTACCATGTGCTTCAGGGCTCCCAGGGACATGGGAGAACGGTGTAGTATAAGCACAGTGTGAGCCCTGTCTTCAGTCATTGCCAGTTCACACAGTTGCATCATCCAAAGTCTGTACCACTGGACTATGAATGCCTTCAGGGTTGCAAGTGTATTCTCCTCTATGTAAGATTTCCTGTTGTCTAACACAGCACCTGGGACACAGTAACAGTATTTGCTGAACAAACAAGTGAATTATTTGGGCACAAAAATAGAATACTATTTAATCTTTAATATTCTAGAATGTCATATAAAAATATAGGGACCAAAAAAAGATGCTAGAAAGTCTCTTCCTGAATATCTTAATATTTGGATTCAAAAGGGTCTTTTACAAATTCATGACATTCAGAAGTTCTGTCCCTTAACTCGGCAAGGTCTACGTCAAGTCATATCAGAGGAAATCTAAGTCTTGTCTATTGTGCAAGGCAGACTTAAAAGAATAATCTCAGGTTTATATAAGGCTTATTAAGGGCTCAAAAATAAGAATCGAGGTTAAAATAATGTATTATATATTTCAAAATTGCTAAAAGAATAAATTTTTAATGTTCTCACCACAAAAAAAATGGTTAAGTTGGTGAAGTGATGCATATGTTATTATTTGTCAATTTAAAATAAATTAATTTTTTAAAGTACAAGAAAACAAGAAACAAAATTTTGAACTTGGCAGATTTAGCAGGAATTAAAACCCTGGGTCAATATATATATCCATAAGTTTTAACATCAGTATTGTGTCAAGCAGTTTCTTGCAAACCACATAAAACCCAAATTTTATGAGGTATCACAACAGCCTCATTGAAATTATTTCCCAAATATTAACTTTAGAAAGTAAAGCCAAAATGTCAACCCTGCCTCTAATACTTAGACCTTCTAGGCCTTCTAATTCAGGCAGTAGCATACAAGGTATACTTATGTCCCTCTCATATGGAATCTCTCTCCCAAATGTCATCAAATGACTTTCACTAATTCTTTCTTAGAAAATGTGCAAAAAGGATTTCCATAGAGGTCTTTGGAGATTTCCTGTGTCCTCATGTGTGTAATAGGTTGGGTCAAGTAACAGTGAAGGAAAAAGAAAGAACGGGGATTTTGATTTGTGTATTTTTCTCCTTCTGGCCATTGAAAGCGGGGCGGGGGCGGGGGAAGGAAAAGGGAAAAATATACCATTCTGATGATGTCAGTGTTAAATTAAATTAAGATCATATGTTTGGCTGTGGCAACTATAATCTTTTGATTATTGAAGAGATTGTTGGTAATGAAGTACATTTGTAAGAAATATTTTAGTATATACTGTATACATGTACAAACTGTGAGATATGCATCTAATAAAATGATAGATTTAGAAATTATCTGGCACCTAAATTCATGCTTTCCAAACAGCTATTTATAGAAAGAAAAGTGATGTTTAAGCTACCATAGTAGAATATTATAATTTGTCTGATATTACCTTAGATAATAGTCCCATATTTTAAAATAATGTAAACCATTCAATTATTTATTCACACCTAAGTTAGATAAATTGGAAGATTTGGGGTTGTGCAGGAAAAGAATTATTTTTACAAAAGTAAGACCTCACTCTCATGGCTTAAAGAGATTGCCATGAAACAAGTTATCCTACAGATAAAGATAAACCAAACCACCATGAATTTTTAATAAACCAAAATTTTTTATAGAGACATTAAAATAACTATTAATTTTAATCTTCTCTGTTATGAAATGAAAGATCCGTGTATCTGGCCACGCTGTATGTTCAATATGTATTTCTCTTCCTGATAGGTCCTTAACACTTACAGTAAAATCTCTACAGACCAGGATGATGATCTCAGCCTGGGGAGAGCCTATGAAGCAATAGCCAAGGTCCTACAGAGGTAAGTTAGCACATCCTCGTCTTGCTGTCACTGTGAATTCACTCAACTGTGAAAGACTTAAATTGTTTGAGGTCTGTCGCTTTCCATTACTTGCCTGCTTAAATTTTAAGCAGTGCCCTTCTTAAGTGACCCTTTCATCGTAAGTTATTTTAGACCAATGTGGTATTTTAAAATATGCATCTAAACTCTTCTTTGTCTATCCCTCCTTTATATTTTCTTCTTGGTTTTCTGTAAGTTTAGTGATGACCTTGAATAAAAGAGAAAAAAATCAGGTCACATCTCACAGGTTAAGAAAGCAAAGAGCACAGAAATATGTAGTACGCTTCAGTGACTGTGGCTCACCATAACCTTTCCAGATCTCTTCTTGGAGGAAAGTTTCCATTTATGCATCAATCATGCTTTTTCCATTAAGACATCTCTCCTTCGAGCCTATCTGGATAAACAGTTGAGTGCAAAACCAATATTCCCAATATTTCATTTGAAACAGAAAATTTAAAACATATGAACAACTTCTGATACATATTTTTCTATGGAAGAGATATGATTTGCCCTTCACTCATTGTATTGTGATCATTATGTACTCCATTTAATCATTACCTTATATACTTAAGTATTATGACTTAATCCAAGATAGAAAAACAACAAAAGTTATCAGAGTTAAAGCCTTGTTTTTTGGTATGTTTTCTTATATCCAAAATATAGCTTTTTACTAATAGTAGTAGTAGTGGTGTTGGTAGTAGTAGTAACAGATATAGATTGTGTTAAGTTCTAATTTCTTCTCATTTGTGTTTCAGTTGTACACACATACAAGGTGGTATTTTACAAGGTAAAATTGTTATTTGAAAGGAATTTGAAACATTAAATACCTGGTAAACTGAAATTGAAATCATCATTGTATAACCACCATTGCTAATATAATAATCATTGTTTACAATACCAATACCAATGAAATGAAAAGTACCCTACAAAATACCAAATAAAATCCAGTCATCACTGGATAAATGGTTTAGGATTACAGACATATTTATAAGCAGAGTATGGACATTTACTCAAGAAAGATAGGGCCAGCCATGGGCAAGGCAAGCAACCTGTGAGTGTTGTGGTCTCTCCAAATAAAGATTGGTAACTAGTCCATGGAAAACCAACCCATCTATCCCTTAAAACATTCACTTTCCGTATAACAACCTGGAAGAAGCGGATGATTGAATACAAAATGAGATTGGTAAGAATTCAATTTAATGTCTATTTGGAACAAACCAACCCTAATCTCTTTTTTCCAGTTCATTTTGATTAGTAAATTACTTGACTTTGCTGTTATTGCTGCCTCAAATGAGTAGAAAATGGTTGGATTCTTTGCCTTGCATTGTAGTAACAAACCTGACCTAATCTTGCACAGTTATATAAATGTATCACATTTCTATCATGTCTCAACATGACTAAAGAAATAAAACCCAAGCAAAAAAAAATTTATGAACTTTTACTGAGCAGTTACTATGTACAGGACAAGTATTGGAATGCCCCTTTGATTACTGATGGTCTTTGTAATTTTTTCCGAAACTTCTGGAGACATGAAGTTGTCTTCAAATAATTCTCACCTGTTCACCTTGTGTCTCATCTAGAATATTTTAGCTGCCACTCTAGGATTTGTATTCCTTGTCTGTACAGTTAAAGCTTAGTGGAGGGTTGAATAGTTACGTGATAAGTTTTGGCAATAACAGGCAATCTAACATTTTAATTTGGCTACTTAAGTATTTTATTTGGGGTTTAGGAGTCGGAGAGGATACATCTATATTTGATATATCATGAAGTTGAGTTTGTTTTGGGTAGGAATGGGGACAAGTTGGTTCCAACATTCTCTGTAGCCTAGCAACTTTCCTTAGGGCAAACATATAATGGAGCAAGAAGATTTATTCCCATTGCACTTTTATACCAAAAGAAATTAATTCCACTTATAAGAATTTCCACTTACTGAAGTACGATAAAGGTATCAGTGATTTGTATGGTAGACATGGATTCTTATTTTTATAATGTTATACAGTGCACGAGAGAGTACAGAGATACTTTTTCCGAGGTCATAGGGACAAAGTGTCCCAAGGCCACGACAAGCTTTCCAATCCAAATCTGCCATTTTTCAGCACTGTTGGTGGTAACAGAGGAGCACTCAGGGGATTGTAAGCCTCAGCATATTCTTTCAACATCTGTGCAAAATAATCCGAGTACAACCTATTAGCAGGCAGATGTTTCAAAACCTAAAATTCTATGCAGGAGGCTGGGCGCGGTGGCTCACGCCTGTAATCCTAGCACTCTGGGAGGCCGAGGCGGGAGGATTGTTTGAGCTCGGGAGTTCGAGACCAGCCTGAGCAAGAGCGAGACCTCGTCTCTACTAAAAATAGGAAGAAATTAATCGTACAACTAAAAATATATAGAAAGAATTAGCTGGGCATGGTGGCACACGCCTGTAGTCCCAGCTACTCAGGAGGCTGAGGCAGGAGGATCGCTTGAGCCCAGGAGTGTGAGGTTGCTGTGAGCTAGGATGACGCCACAGCACTCACTCTAGCCAGGGCAACAGAGTGAGACTCTGTCTCAAAAAAAAAAAAAAAAAATTTAAAATTCTATGCAGGTAGACAAAAGCACTCTGGATATCTGAGAAGCTTTATTAAATCCAGTCCATAAATAGTATAAATGTTTTGATATAAATTTTGTGGTCATTTTTAGAAAATTTTGCTTGAAGGGCTTGATGTTCTTCAATAACATGCATGTGCACACTCACACACGCACAAACACACATATATATATGCATTATCCCTTTCACAGTCCTAAACTGTTCTTTTCAGGTTAGCAGCAACATGCAGGAAATGGAGCACGGCCCAAACAGAGGAAATTATGGTGGTGGCAGCTGAGAAATAAATCAAGTTGCATATGAAGCTTAGCATCATCTCTAAATCTCTTTTTCCTAACCTGTGCAATTGCACAAGTTTCACTAATGGTAGCCCTATCTCTATAAACATATTTTATCTCTTAAAAGGAAATGGAAGAGGATAGCCATGTCTGGGATAAGTGTGTGTCTGCAGCCATCAGCTGAGCATGCATGAAAGGTGAATAAGCTCTAAGGCTGGAAGGTTCTCAAATGGTTATAAGAATTTATACTGAGCCCTCAATTGAAAAAAACACCACATTCCCTCAAGACTGGGAATTTGGTAATACAGAGTTGCCCATTTGGTGATGCTAGATCCAGACCTAGTGGTAGAGTTACAGAAGAAGTTTTTAATAGGGAACAGGTTTTGTTATTTGTACTATTAGTCTGAATAATATTACTTGCATAAGAGTTTAAGCAGCATAACAGAAAATAAACATGTACAATGTTATTTTCCCCCTAATTCAAATACTAGTGAAGAAAAGAGTTGATATTCTAAAATGATAACAATTGCCTATGACACTACTCCAAAAGCCAGAATTATGCTCCATAAAACAGAAAGAAAGTGAATTGAGAAATTACCAACTAAATATCGTTATTATATTGACAGACAGTTTGAGTAAATATAGAGAGGGAAAACTCAGTTTTCTTTGTGGTATATATATTTTTTTGCCTCCTTTACTGAAGAAACGCATTTACTGAAATGCCACGATTTTCCAACATAATCAGGCTATTTAAAAGAATCTAAAGGAAAAAGCGCACAAAATGTGCTCAAGATATATTAGTCACAAGTAGCCCATCTCTGGGTTTATTCCATACCAATTGTAAATTTTCTTGCAAACACGAGTTAAATTATTTCCTAGAAAACTTTCCACAGTGGAGATCTTTAAATCAATCAGTAAAAAGTTTCAAGTGTGAAAATTACCTTTCTGTTATAGCTGAAAATTAATTTCTTCTTGCTTGAGAGAAATGACACGCCCTAGTAATTTTCATATATTCTTTAAAATGGAACATCCAGGCTTTGATGCGAAATTTCCTAAAAATGACCCCAAAATACATCAAAACATTTCTATTAATTCATGAAATTAAGAACAGCTTTTTACATTTTCTCCTATCACTGATCCCATTTGCCTTATTACTTTCATCTGCGGCCCACAAACTTGGTGGCACAATCAACAAACCCCTTAGTGGCTGTTTCATCTCTGCTCTATTTGATTTCTCCTCTCTGAGTAAATGATTAAGTTTTCATGCATTGGTTCAACCAAAATCTATGTTCACTCAACCACATCCTTTATTGATTACTTCTACTGCAAACAGTAGGCCAAGTGTGATATACATAATTGGACAGTTGTCAGGGGACGTGGGTGTTAACAGTCCTGTTTTCCCAGTTGGAAACTGGAATCACCTTGATACACAAATATTCTGCACTGTTTCATTCTCATTCTTTGGACCGAGGAGTCCTGTTCCTCAGAATATATGTTTTTAACTCTCTAAGGTCTGGTTGAATGAATTTAATGATTATACCATATAATATGCTGTTCAACTTGCACCTGTGCACTGCATATAGAAAACTGGAATTAATATTTGTCTAACATTTTAACCTTGTCCTCTAACTTATACAAATAATCTGTAGCTTTCTGTAAGAAAATATTTGATTTTTTCCTCTTCCAAAGGAAGAATAGCTTCTAAATATATTCTTAACTTTTAAATTTGAAAACCCTTTAGCCAACATATAATATTAATATTTCAGATGCCATATTAACAACTTTGCTGGCTATAGAACTGTACATTCATTGAGTGAAACATGTAGTTATAATAGAAAGACTTTTTCTCTAGCATTATTTGTTAGAGCAAGTTCCAGATAATTTTGGATGTTTTGCAGATCTTTTGCTCCTTTGGGAGAAAAACAACTTAAATTACCCAGCAATAGTTTTATTTATACTATTTTGTATTTTTTGTTCTCTAAACTTATTATTTTATTTATTTGTGTGTACTTTGATTTACCAATACTTAGCAGGCCAAACCTAATCAGAAATGTGCTTCCATTGAAAATATATCAGCTTTTAGGAACATGAGCATAAATAAGCCTCAGCGAATCTGTTTTAGCTAAATAATAACAATATCTGTAATTTTCCCCAAGTTTTTAAAGTGATATGCAAAGAAATATCCACTTTTTTCCTTTTTCATCAATTTTTTTCCAGGAAAGAGCTCAGAAAATTAACAACAATCTGATAAAACATTGTTAGCCCTAAAAATCCACAAGTTTGCTCAAAATTCTAAATATTATATTTTTATTAACATTTTATGCCCTTGAGCTCTCGCAATACCTTTTAGTTGTCTCACAAAACAAATATTTAAATTAAAATAATTAGTAAACCACTCATTATATTTTACTCTATGTCTGTATTTGAAAAATTCCTGAACAATTCATAATTTTTCTAGAGAATTGACCTACCCTTAACTGTGGAGTATTAGTCATAATTTTGGTATGAAAAAACAAGGGCAGAATCATCCATCAAAAGCAGTATTCACAGCTTGTGAATGTAAAATTCCATTCTATTTTTGATAGGTAGAGTATTCTTTTAGCAATAAAGAAGGAAAAAAGAATGTATTTGGTAGTACCTGATAATCAAGTAAACAAAAAATGTTTTTTGATCCTGGCGCCTAGAAAATAGACATCAGGATTTTATGTGTCTGGCTGTTTTGCAGAGCATACATTCAAATTATAGTATTTAATTCATTGCATGATGAAAGGTTTTCAAAAAACTGCTTAGCTAAATTGAATTTTCCTCTCAGCTTATGGTAGATAAGATCTAGTAGAGCTGTGAATGTGATAACTGTTCATTTCACTGAGCGATAACAATAACACTAGTGCCATCTATTGAATCCCTACTGTGTGCCGGGCTATACATTTACACAATGTTTCATTTTGAAGCAATTCATGGCCGTTTTAAGAACGACGAAACTGAAGTTCTCTTCAGCTTCATAACTTTAATATGATCAAAGTTATTCATCTAAGAAGCTGAGCTGGGATTCAAGCCTAGATCTTTCTAATATCCACCACAACACATTGTGACTTTCAAGTTATCCAGCTTATTTTTACAAACATACCACAGTTTACCTATGAAAATGAATGTTATCCAGATCTTGGGAGGTTATGCGAGGAGATACCCCTAATCCTGCCAACACCTGTTTAAAATAAACTCCTTTGAAAATGCTTTCTGAGCTCGTGATGGATTCGTTTGAATAGCACCAATAGCTGTGCATCCTCGTTTGAGAGGAGGAAGGAACATGGACTAGAGCAAGCGTCCTGTGACTCGATAGGCACACTACACATTTTATACAGCTCAAAGATGTCACCCACAGTACATGTGACAATTTTTCAAATGTATATAAGATCTTTGAGATCACCATTTCATTCACTGCAGTTGGCTCAAAATTCCTTTTGGCTGCCTTGTAAGACCAAATTTACACCACAAACACTAGACTTGCTCTTGTGAAGAGAGTCAAATGAATGCGCTCCAACTTTCAAAGCACTGTATATAATTCATAGTACCTATCCCAGTTAATCCCATGTAGGAATTTATGCATTTATCTCTCGAAGTTGACAGTGAAACTCTTCAAGGACAGGAACCATATCTCCCAACAACTAGCATATTTTAGGACGTTTGCTCAAAGTTTCTTGGTGTTACTGAAACATCCAGGAGTCAGGAGTTTACAGTCATGGACTCCAAACATCCACATGACTGAGGTTCACGCAATTTACCTGGATGCTTAACTCCCGTGTGTATAGCATATGTGTTTCCCTTCTCAAATTTCAATCGGTCCTCCATTCAAAAATATATAAATACCTAGCATATGGCAAGCACTCTGCTCGAAATTTTATGTCTTTCTGAGCATCTTGCAAGAATATGTAACATGTATTTGTGACTTTAGTGACACCTGAGCTTTCACTGCTGAGGGATGCTTGCAAGAATAAACTAGAAGTCACCCTTTATAAACTTTTTAAAGTTTTTTTTTTTTTTTAAATCAACACTTAAGTGCACATATAGTAGTAACACTCATCGGATGTCGGGCAGATGGGAGGGGACAGGAAGGGATGGATATATTCACACCTAATGGGTGCAGTGTGCACCATCTGGGGGATGGACATCTTGAAGCTCTGACTCAGGTGGGACAAAGGCAAGATATGTAACCTAAACATTTGTACCCCCATAATACGCTGAAATAAAAAAATTAAAAAAAATAAATAACAGCTTTATTGAGACATAATTGACATATCATACAATTCGACCTCTTAAAGTCTGTAGTTCAGTGGCTTTTTACTATATGCACAGAGTTGTGCAACCATCACCACTATCTAATTTCAATGACCCTGAAAAGAAACCCGGTACCCATTATCAGTCACTCTTCACTGCCCCCATTCCTCAGCCTCTAGCAACCACTAACTACTTTCTCATGAATTTGCCTATTCTGGACATACCATGTAAATGGAATTATACAGTATGTGATCTTTTATGTTTGACTTCTTTCACTTAGCATGTTTTCATGTTTCATCCATGTTGTAACATGTATTACTACTTCAATCCTTTTTAAGACGGAATACTATCCCATTGTGTGAATACCCACATTTGGTTTGACCATTCATCGACTGATAGACTTTAGGTTTCCATTCCTTATCTATTATGAATAATGCTGCTATAAACATTTGGGTATGAGTTTTTGTGTTGACATATGCTTTTGTTTCTCTTGGGTATATATCTTGGAGTGAAATTTCTAGGTCATATAGGAGCTCTATGTTAAGTTTCTGAGGAGCTGCCAAAATTGTTTTCCAGAGCAGTTGCATCATTTTACATTTCCATCAGCAATGTGTGAAAATTTAAAAGTTTCAGTTTTAACTCACTGTATACTCTGACAAAAACAAGCCACATATTTATTGATTTGGTATTTGCACTTTAAATCTCATTATCCTGATAAACGTCTTGCATTTTCTATAGCAAAGGCGCCAAATACCTTTTCTTCACTGTGACATTAAGTGAGATGATATTCCAATGATTTCCTATTTTATTCCAGCCAAGGAAAGACAACAGAAGCAATTAACTACTTGGAAAAAGTTGTGAAACTTGCAAGAAACAATTTTCAAAGCCTAGATATTGTGAGAGCAAGTACAATGCTTGGAGACATCTACAATGAAAAAGTGAGTATAGATGAGTCTTGTTTATGGAGAAATTTGCAGTGTTTAGGGAGAAATTTGTAGGTTTAAAAGTCTATCCTCATGTGATCCTTGCCTTCTCACAATATGTTATGCAGAGTGGCCTGGGACTAAGGGACATACTTAACACACAAGTCAAGGACTGGGAGGAGAAAAGCCTCTTTCTCTTCCTCTTCTTCCAGCACTTGGTGCCAACTGGGACACAGTCCTCACAAGCTGCTAACCCTGATTCATATATTCACTCAGAAGCCAATGACAATGAGGCTTCTAAGTGAGGCTTCTAAGTGACTTTGGATTTGAGGGGCAATTAAAATATTTAAATTCAAAGGAAGTTCATTATAACCGTTGTCTCCTGTCTGCTTACACAGACATTCATCTCTCTGGCTCCAAATTCTTGTTTTATTAATCCAGCTGTGATGTTCCCCCCACGCAGGTCCCTTAGGAGAAGTGACAATCCCAAGAATAATTTTGAAGGAAATTTGGAATAGAATGTTAGCAATAGTTTGATTATATAAAAGAAGACAAAGGGGGGGGTCCAAAATAAAATTATCTCATTCAAGAAGCCATTATTAGTAAAATGGACTTTTACTAGTCTTAATGGACTTCCGGCATATTTTCTCGTATTTTATCTTTTTATTACAGATTTTCGTTTAGAAATAGTATGGAAGAGGCTTGTTTCTCTAGTTATCATCACTATAATTACTGTTTTGATCATGAATAAGATCCATTATTTTTTAAGGATAATTATATTCTCAAAGTGTATTTATGTACTTTATCTTTGGCCCTGAGAGGATGTCTATGTAGTGATTAAAAGCACTAACTCTGAAACCAGACTGCTTGGGTTAAAAACCCACCTCTTTCACTTATGAGATATATGACCTGAGACAAGTTGCGTGAATTTCTAGATGCCTCAGAAGGTTGCTGTGAGTATTGAATTAATATATGCAAAGCACTTAGAAGCGTGCTTTATAGTAGGAGAAGGAAGTGCTATCTTTATGAGCATTAGCTTTTGTTATTCTCTACACCCTTAGTGGTAGCAAACAATTTTCCTTTTCCAGATCCTCAGAGTGTTTAACTTAACCCCAGGCTTCCAAGATTCTAGGTGGCAGGGGCATTCAAATCCATACTCTTAACCACTACAGGATTCTATTATTTTCTATAAAATTAACTTTGTTTCAGAATGATTTAGGATTTTTAAGGAAATAGAGTTTGAAATTAATCAGAACGAATGGAATTCATATTTCTTTAGTTCCTGCCACAGGGAACGTGCTTTCAAACAAAGTATCTCATTTATTTTCTCTTATACCTCCTTTCTTGCTCCCCCTGGTTCATTTGCCTCCCCTCTCTCCTGTTACCTAAAATCCTAAAAGTCCCCTGTTCTCTGGACTCCCTCACTCTCCTATTCCCCCTTCCTTACCCACCTCACTCCCTTCTCCCCTGCTGCCCTCTTGCTGGTCTCTGGGCCTTGCTTTCTCACACTCAGGTGGCTCAGGTCCTGCTCTCCCACCCCCTCCAGCCTCTTTCACTTTACTTTCCCTCTTCCTTTGTGTCCCCAGTTGTGCTCAGGTTTTCCTGTCTGTTGTCTGCTTCCTCTGCTGCCTCCTGGCCCCCGGCCCATTTCTTTGCCTTTATTCACTCTTCTCCGATTGATTTTGTATTTGCTTTTGTTTACTTTTCAGGGTACAGAGGTGGAAAAAAAGGCAAAACTTATTATACCTTTGTGAGGCTTACAGTCAAATGGGGGACCTTCTCCTATAGTAGCAGAATTGACATTCCTAACCAAAAAAAAAAAAAAAAAAAAAAA